TTCCTCGATACAAACTTTTAGTACACAGTAGTTACACAATCAGTACGTTTCTTTACGGCTCACTAACTCGAAACTAACAGAATCATAAATTACACGGAACTCAAAGTAACTACAGCTCTCTCTTCATTTTAACACTGCTGGCTTTATCTGCCAGGCTTATTTACTAACGAAGAGGGCATCTCGAACACACTCGGACTTCCGCTGTCGTATCATAAAGGTGGCAAGTCAACTACAATCCAAAACCTAGCTATCTGGTGGGGTAGGAAAGAGAATCATACTGTCTTCACCTCAAGTTCAGGAGACCAGAGGGAATCTCGTACCCCCCGACCCATGAACGGGTCACATGATAACAATGTGAGAAATTGATTGATCGATCTGGGAACCCGACATCCAGCATCAAAAAAGATGTAATGTAAACCATCTCACTCAAATTTTAAATGACAGGAACAACTCCAAACACAATAACATCTTCGAATGAATAAGAACATTGATGGGTAGCGGAAGGGGAAGAACCGTAGTAATCTGCAAGTATCTCCATTGTGACCCACAATACAGATGGAGTAACAAGAGTATAAATGAGTGAGGGAATAGAGGCATTTATAATACATGTGTGAGGACTTATGTTGATTGGTTCAGCTTTAAATCCAAAATGCAGCTACTGGGAACCGACATCCATGTAGGGGTAGGGTGAGGGATCCCAAATGAAGGGGTGAACGACAATTTTGATGGCTCACTCCAATTACGCGTTGTGGAAAATATCACGTCATTTACACCAGCAGAACACAACTACCCTACTCTCAAATGAATGGTTTTATAATCATCTATATATAATAGTTGTATTTCATTAATACATTTAGGAGGATGTCTCTATGGTCCACCACCCCAGCAACTTGGAACTGGAAAGTGGTAAGGACTCTCAAACTCCACTAGAAGAATAGGGGGTACAAAGTGCACTCGAGAGTCCAGAGGAATGACAATACCTAGACAGTGTAATGAGTGACCACGAAACCCTATTTTGAAAAGCAGACCATACCGATTTATTCAATACAAGGAATGGCAGGGATGGGCAGCTATCCCTTTCTGCTTTACCCATGTAATCCATGGGTGAATGCAGTCTGAGATGGGCAAACCAATGAAGCAAACATATCACAAGGATAAACCTACAAGTGAAGTTGTGGAACACCCCATCTCAGCAATGTGTATTGCGTGGCCACGAAAATAATAATATGCAAGTCAGCATGATCTCACAATGCGGATTTGACGAGTTTAAGTATACCTGAACAGGTATCACTCGCCACAGAGGGAACCAAAAAGAAAAAGAGGGACATGCCTCTGAAAAATAAGAGGTATATATATACTAAAAGGTATCTTACCCAGTAACAGTCCCACAAAAGAGAGAAGGATGGCAACAGGTGGATGACGATACCCTGACAAGGAAGAAACAGCTACCCAAAGCAGAGAATGGGAGATGAACATATGAGATGCAGTGCCAGTGCTCGACAAAGTACCTCTAATAGACGACAGGGTAGACATGCTGGGTAAAAGGAAGGTGCATGACCACAATCAAGACACCAGGAAGTGATGACAGACAGAAGGAGACAAAGAATAAACCCCAATCGAATCACAATCCAAACCCAATGGATAAGGGAAGAAGGGGAAAAATCACGATCAAAGAAGTGGAGTAAGGGAAGGAAACCATGGGAAATGGATTCAATGGAAATGAGCATTAAAAACAATGAAGCAACCCACAGCACGTACTGGACAGAGAAGGTCATCTGGATCCTACTGAGAAGAAATGTGGAAGATGGTAAGAAACGAAAAAGTCGAATGAAATATACCCCATGAGCCACCAAAATGTAGGTTAATAAAATCGATCCAGAACAAAAGAAACAAATCGAGCCGAAACAGCCGAGAAAACCAAAGAAGTGTCAGCTAGAAAAGATCAGTCAAAAAGACCTGAATTGGAGTGACATGGATAAACACAAATTTGGGGAAGAAGAATGATGTAATGAGAAAAAAACAAAATTTATAAACTGGATGTAAACCTGTCTGAACTTAAAGACAGCCAGGGCAAGTGGACAATGAATCAGAGACCTAAAAAACAAATGAGGTAAGTGATAAAGGATTGAAAAACTTAAAGTGGAGGAGTACCCCACAGGAGGCAAAACCACCAAAAATTAGGAGGATCGAGAGTCACTCCTAGGGAGAAAGTGTTGGGGCTGGAAAGTCAACAAAGCATCTGGAACACGACCCTCCAGGAGGCGTATGTCAAGTGTGTGGGTTCAAAAAAGGAAATCCACTGTTTACAACAAAGGGAACAAGAATGAGTGTCCCCTTGGTGATTGATATAAGTCGCCACTATCAAAAAGTCGAAATGAAACAGGATTAGTCAAATCTAGATATGAGGAAAATAGTGAACTAAAGCACCTTGGACTGGTTTAAGTACTCGGGTGTTAAAGGGATAAGATCTTTCGTCTGTAGACCATTGACCTGAAGCCTCCTACTGATCAAACAACACATCCCACCTTTGGAGATGAGCATCAGGGAAGATAAACAATCCAGAAGAAGGGGAGGAAACAGTAA